ATCCTTCGGAGAAAAGCCAGGGCCATGCTATATTACAAGAGCAATCTTCCTTGACAAATTAAAAGATGAAATCTGAGAGAGAGGGAGGGGGGAGGGCGGAGGGGGGTCCTGTTTGGGCTCCTAGGGAGCCGACTTGGGAACCCTTTGGGTTTTGTCGTGTAAAGTTGAAAACTTTCGCACACAAAAATAGAACTAAATAGTAAATAAGTCATGATTTGTCACCGAAAGGGAGAGCAGGAACCTGAGTGAGTAACCTGAGCCAGGGCGAGGCGAGGGCGAGGCGAGGGTGAGTAGCGTCTGAGCAGAGCAGCTGATGAGTCTGCTGTACTTTACTCAAGGGCCCTTTCTGGTCTCTTGTGGATTCGCTATAGTTTCTAGTTGTACATTTAGTATAGGTGACATTTTGGACCTCCATATCTATTTCAGCATTTGGAGTCCTACAATGACGAGTGCGTTGGTTTGGAAAACTATACTTCGAAGTGCTTACTTCTGAAGTACATCGCCTACAGATAGTACAAAGTGGCGTATGTGCCTTAAATTTACTTCAAGCTAAAGTTTGTCCGGGCTGCAGTAACGAAATTCGGATTACCATGGTAATCGCAGGCGACTTTTGTACAATTTACATCCAACTCGGTCACTTAGCATCGCCGCTCTGTTCATGAGCTAATCACACTGGCGGAGAGAATAAAACACCGGAGCTATGTTCTTTCTTTTTGCCGCCACAAAGGAAACCTGGATTTTCTGTGGCTGAAAGGTCAGGTAGATAACATCAATCAGTAAGAACTGGTACACTTGAATTTTTGTGCCGGAAGGGCACACAGTCTGGTAAGAGACGTAGGTGGTCCGTGACCTGCGTTGACCATTCAGATAGATCGATACGATCTGCATCAATCAAAGGGATATGAGGGAGAGAAATAGCCAAGTGAAGCTGATGGGGAAGATTTATAGCTCTGCGTGGCGCGTAAGAGTCTGGCTGGGTCCAGAGAGTCAAGAGAGCGGACAAGGCCTGGCTTTGTTGGAGCGGCTATGGAACGCCATCGGTCATATTGAGCATGATATCTTACAAGAGCGAAAAGAGAAGAGGAAGGCATTGGAGGCATACGCTCCATATTCTAGCAGCGCGGAAATCTTACAAGACATGAAGGAGTATACCTCGGCCTGGTTCGGTTTCGATCATGACGGAGAGTTTGCATCAACAGAGACTGCCGAGAAGGACATGGCTGCACTTTTTTATTCGCACAAAGCAGCCTGGACAGGACTGGCTGCCTTGGTTAGTCGAAGATACTGGACGAGAATTTGGATTGTGCAAGAAGTTATCCTGGCGAGGAAGATTGTTATCCATTGTGGAAAAGATTCATTGGATGGAGTTGCTTTCGTCGGGCCTGCTCCTTGATCGATGGTTTCATTGTAGACAGCGACGAGCCGAACGCTGATCAGGAGACTATTTATCGTGCCTACGAGGACGTGGATTGGCTTCTATTAGCGCAGGCAAGGGAGAAGAAGATCAGCCTTGAAAAGCAATTGAAGATATACAGACGGAGCGCAAACTCTGCGCAAATGATGGTGAGGAGACAAAGACGACATTGTAAGGAAATTTTGAGAGAGTATGAGAGACGCCCGAGAGACTTCGAGATGTGGGAGAGGGAGAAAAGGTCAGACAAGAATGAGCCAGACTCAAGCATCACGACAAAAAGTATTGCTTGACACTGCAATGACAGGTGCATAGCTTAGTGTGAGTTCTGATGCGATTACTAGCAGCAATATATAGTAGTGTGAGGAATTAAGCTGGACCAGTGGGGCTGATGCTATGTGGATCGATAGAGTGGAAGTAGGCAAGCGATTCCAGATCACAATAATCGTCAACAACACGTTTGTAGTCAGCATATGGCTTTATCATTCAGGTGACCAGAGACTGACCTCTCAGCAACCTTGTCTGGAGTGGGTACGATGAACATGCCGATTATGGGGTTCCTGAATGGTGGGGTAGCGCGGTTACGTGCATTAGGTTGAGGCGGGGACGCGGGGGTGATGATCTTGCTCGAATCTAACCAATAAAACAACCATTACCCCACCAAGGCGAGCGATGTCGGTTTTCCTACTCTCCCATTGTAGGACGAGGTATCGTCTGTAAGACTTTGTACTTCTCCATTATCTTTCCTCCTTGTCACTAACTTCTTTGTTGGAGTAATTTCTCCGCAGCGTGCTATCCCTCACTTGACTTCTCACTTACAGTGATCTTTGAAACAAAGCATCTCCAAGTCTCAAATTACCCCTCACCTGGAACCATGGCTCCCTCTGCCACCTCTCCCTGCTCATCGAGCAGTCCTTCAACACCACGTCCCAAGATCCTCATCCCAGAAAAAGTTTCTCCAGATGGACTCGCTCTCCTCTCTCCCCACTTCGAGATCCACCAACCGAAGAATCTCTCCGCAGCCGACCTGCTAGCTCAAATACCAACATACGATGCTCTCATAATTCGCTCCGAGACGAAAGTCACAGCCGAAGTCCTCGCTGCAGCTACACGTCTCAAGGTCGTGGCTCGAGCAGGAGTAGGTGTTGACAATGTTGATGTGGATGCTGCTACGAGTTATGGTATAATTGTGGTGAACAGCCCAAGCGGGAATATCGTTGCTGCCGCGGAACATACTATTGCGTTGCTTATGGCCGTGGCTAGAAATGTGCCGGGTGGAGATAGGAGCTTGAGAAATGGCGGGTGGGAGAGGAGTAAGCTCGTAGGTACGGAAGTAGGAGGCAAGACACTTGGGATCATTGGACTTGGAAAAGTCGGTTTGAAAGTCGCCCGTATGGGCGTAGGATTGGGCATGAAAGTTGTGGCAATGGATCCATACGCTTCTCCAGAGATCGCAGCTTCTGCATCGGTCAAGCTTGTCGGCTCATTGGGAGAACTCCTCCCCATTGTGGATTTCCTGACGATTCACACGCCGCTGATAGCTTCGACACTTGATCTTATCAGCGTCGAGGAGTTCAACACTATGAAGAAAACTGCTAAGATCCTCAATGTAGCTCGCGGAGGAGTATACAATGAGCAAGCTCTCTTCGACGCTCTGGAAGCTGGGACGATTGCAGGCGCTGGTCTTGATGTCTTCACGTCTGAACCTCCCGCTCCAGGATCAGCCGCTGAAGCTCTTTGCAGACACCCAAAGGTGGTAGCTACACCACATCTGGGTGCAAGTACTGTTGAAGCACAAGAGAATGTGTCAATGGATGTCTGCGCACAAGTGCTTTCCATCTTACAAGGTGGACTTCCAACAAGCGCCGTCAACGCACCCTTAATTCTCCCGGAAGAATACAGAAAACTACAACCTTTTGTCCATCTCGTCGAGAAGATGGGTGGGCTGTATACTCAGCATTATTCTCGCAAGGGTTCAGGAAGTGGAAGTGTAGGAGGCAAAACCTTCGAGCTCGTATACGAAGGAGAGTTGGCGAGCATAAGCAACACCCGACCTCTATTCGCAGCACTCGTCAAAGGGCTTACGTCTTCTATTTCTGACTCAGGCGGCCGAGACGTGAATATTGTCAATGCATCGCTCATCGCCAAAGAGAAAGGCATCCGGATCAACGAGACGCACAATCGCGAGTCCAAAGATCTCGTTTACGCATCCTTGGTAAAGCTGCGCACTAGTGGAGCCGAAGGCCAGGTCATTGAGGGTTTCGTGAGCGGCAAAGGTATCTATATCAGTAGGCTCGATCGATTCAACACTTCCTTCGTGCCTGAGGGGACACTTATCGTACTGCATAACTATGATGAGCCCGGAAAAATTGGTGGAGTGGGTAACATTCTGGGTAGAGCCGGCATTAATATTCGATTTATGAGTGTGGCTGCTTTGGACGGACCAGCTGGTGAGGTTGAAGAGGAGAAGAAGGGGAGTAATGAAGCTTTGATGATTCTTGGTATTGAGGGACCAGCTGTTGGGAAGGAAGTTGAGAGTGAGTTGAGAGCGCAAGGCGGTATCCTGGATGTTAGCGTCGTGAGACTCTGATTGCTTCTCTGAGTGCAGTCAAATGGTCCGGTATATGATTTTTCAACGTCACAAAAGAGGCTTCTTCCTGTCTCGGAGTTCTTGCTGTTATTTTTCAAAGTATGTTTAGCATGGACTTTGAATTCTCCTTTCGCCGACTTAGCTCGTTTGAACCAAGATACACAACAATAAAAGGGTAGCATAGATAGCATTCAACTGCGAACCCAGAGGGAACTTTTTACAAATGAGGTTCATTTTTCCCATTGAATCGAGTTCCTCAATATCAAAAACAACGTACCTTCCCAACTTAGTTTGCCTTTCCCCGAGCCAGCCAACAGCAAATGTGCAGCATGAACCCCTCACACGTGACAGCTTTTCAAACCGCAAATTCCTTTTTTCAAACCCCGCAGTACCGCAACAAAAATAGCAAAACATCTATAGACTTCCGACAAGTTGCAACTGGACAGATGAACGAGCGCCAAGTGAGGAATTTCTTGAAATGAAGGAACAATACCTTGCTTGAAACAGCCCAGACCAGCCAGCACCTGCAAGGAAACGCGCCAGGCAGCAATAATCGCCCCCATTTCTAACAGCAAAAAGCGGCGGTTGTCCTCCAAAATGCAAAAAAGAAAAAAGTTATCGGAGTGAACCGAGTGGGGGACTCTATTTACGAAATTAGTACATGCGCAGGCGATACAATGTTCTTCAGAAGAAACGTACCGAACCCACGCCATTTTCGTGACCAGGAGATTGTGCTGAGGAATCACCTTGATCTGGCGCCGTGTCAGCCCATCATCAATCACCGTGAAATACCTCACAGCGCGATATTGTGAAGGGATTTCTCGGTCAGAAGGTTGGTTATCCAAGTTGTTATGACAGCGCTCGCTTGATTCGCTTACTCGAGTAGCGTCCTGCACCCTAACCAAATTTTCCAGGCTTTTGTCCCGCAACGCCACACATCCAACATGCAAAAGAATTCGCAACGCAACAAAATGTCCATTGAATAAAAGTGCAAAATAATGAACAGAGTGGGACTCGAACCCACGCCACTTTCGTGACCAGGAGATTGTGCTAAGGAGACCTTAACCTGGCGCCATAACCAGCTCGGCCATCTGTCCAGTTGCAAGATGTCGACAGAGTGCTTATTTGAATATATATTACTATTAGAAAAATGACTCATCTTCATTGAACGGCAGCCTGTAATAGCCCTGGAGAGAGGCACTAATCAAGCGAGCCCCATTTACAGTTTAGTGAGGTCATACGCTAAAGCGCCTGGGAGCGAGCATCTAACCAGCGGCATCCTTCAGGCGGCACAGCCTGATGAAGGTACGCCTATGGCAGTAACATGGGATTGAATCCCCTTAGCCTCGTCTGTAAGTGAGATTCAGGCCTGAAACTGGTAGAGCAGGCCCAAAGCACAAAATTAACTTCATTCAGGTTAATATACTGTTGAGGAACGGGTTTCACCAAGTGAGACATCTAGCGAAAGACGCCCTCAAGAGTACCCAACCTGGACACATCCAACACACTTTGTGCACTTGAACGTCTGCGTCAAAACATGACATGGATAACAGGAATTGAGTTGGATATCTCAAAATGGATGCAATGTGTTTTTGTCTGCTCATCTGTAATTTCAAATACCTTCTTATTGTCAAGTGTTTGCAGGTCCAGGTGGAGATAAGCAGGCAGGGCAGGCTTTGACGAGTCGCCTCTGGAACGCCTCTGGAACGCCTCTGGAACGCCTCTATTTACCCATTCCTGGTACGGCCGGCATAGTCAATAACATACAACCAATTCATCATGGAAGTCCACATGCCTAGCGTACAGCCTAATATGCAGTCCTGTCAAATACTCGACAAAAAGTATTCGCAGGACATGTCGAGATAGTATTGAGGCTGTCCTCCTCAAGTATGCTATCACAGAATATGCTTCTCGATTCCATGAAGAGCCATTTTTCAGGCCTATTGAGTAGTAAGTTAATCATGGTATCACTTGATTTTATTCACAGTGTTGTGGTATTATTAAGGAGAAAATGAGATAGAGAATGTGACTGAATGTCATTTCATAAGCTCTCGTATGTCTGGCCCCCCTTTCCTTCCGCTTATTTCATGCAGAAATCTGTCTCAATGCTAAGATACAGTTTCTTGGAAGTTTCCTATCATAGAGCCGGTTCAATAAAGTCTGCAGTCTCCCTCTTCTTCATCAGAATAACCCTCATCTGGTGATTCCTCTCTATTTTGAGAACTCCGTACTTCGTTCACACATCTTGCTTTAGTATCATCTCCATCATTCCGTGACTTCTTCTTCACCCAAGCTTGGCCCACTCAGGTCCCTCCTTTCCCTGTATTGACGTGCTGTACCCAGCATCATCGTTGTTCTCATTGCTCATTTCCCTGCCTTATCAGCTCTCGGAGCCCAGATAGAAGGCCTCCACTCAATCGTTGCTGGCATCTCGTCTATGGATGCAGACCCATTCGGCATTTTGGAGGCTCTTCTCCCAGCATTAATTACCATTTCCTCAATGTCCTACGCCGAGTCAAAAACATTGGATAATTTGCTCCGACCAACCCTTCTCGCATACAGCTCCAGTGAATAACTCTTCTTAGGAACTATATCCCCAAGCCCTCCTATCGCATCAATTGCTTTGGTTTCCTCGGTCTCCTTGCTTTCTTTGCCTTTCTCGGTCTCTTTGGTCTCTTCTGGTTCCTTGGTCACCTCACGGGGCCTCCGCCTACCGTTCCCGTTACCTCGCATATGCAGCGGCAGTGCCTTCAACGGCGTAGCTCCCGTCGGCAGGAGACAATCAGTAGGACCACATCTCCCTTCAATTCCTCTAATCACATCCGCAATATGATTTTCAAACGCATAGCGTCCTCAGCCACATCGGCGGCAGGTTTTGCATATCTCCAGGCAGACCATTTCCGTTTTTCGGCTAGTCGTTGCTTGATATCGAGTTCATCAAATTTCCGGACTTGGGGCCGACAGTCCTCGATTTCTGACTGCGTGTAGGTTCGATCAGAGCGGTAATGCTTAACTTCCATGTTGATAGTCCAGATATAAGATTCGATGTTTGAGGCAAGAGCTTCGAGATGTCCATGGGATGCTCTGACGATCAGAGGGTTTAAAATGGATGCGTCGTTCGCTGACATGTGGCGTCGAACGATACCAAGTACGAATCTCCTAGCGTTTCGTTGGTGTGCCCCGTAGCGAGCAGGACGCCTTTCTTTCTGGGGGAGACATGGTCGAGGTCTGACTGTTGGTGTTGTCCAGTTGAAGATGGTATGACTGCTTTTGATAAGGAGCTTTTGAAGATACATGTCTCGAAGATTTTGTGGTGGTAGACGTTCAGATCGCATCTGTCGGAACATTGTATTTTCCCTCTCGGCTTTTTCAGAATCCATTTTTTGGTTGTAAAGCTTGAGTTCCGGTGGTGGAGTGAAGTATCCATCGGGGCCGTTGTATCTTCTAGACAAGCTATTCAGCTCTTGAAACGCATTGGTAATTTGCTCGATGCGTGTGATCTGAATATTGATATCACATTTTGAAAATTCCGACTCTGATGTTCTCTGTTTCTTTTTAGGACATTCCGAATCCATGTTGTCTGTCGCTGGCCTTTTGGTAGAAGTGCCGGGCACTTTCTCTCCTATCTGTTGAGAAATCAAAGCTTCGGTGTATTGTGTTTGATGACTTGTGAAATTTCTCGAAACTTGTCTCAAAAGGCTGAGAGACCGAAATAAATCGACAGACTTGCCTGTGATCTCTCTTCAGGACAGCGTTCATCTTTCTCAAAGCAGACTTCGCGAACATGGTCCGTTTCATATTTTTATACGGGACAGCCATGCGGAGATTGAGTTCTTCTTGTTCCTTCGGAGTTGACTCCATTTGGTAGCTGTGGCGCTTCACCATTTCGTATTCATCGGTGAAGTGTTTCACGCCGGAGGTGGCCATATTTAATCGTCGCGTGGAACGACAGGACTTGATTCCGAAGTATGATAGTCAGTAAAGATTGTGATCAAAATCAGGAGCCTTTGAAGACGGCGGCCAGGCCGAGTGAGCTTAAAGTCGTAATGGTATGAGACCTTTCCAGCGGGTATGACAGTGAGTGGAGGTGGAGAAGCATGATGTGCGCGCAGAACATTCTGTAAGCGATGCTTTCGGAATTTCACAAACTATGAAGCGAGCGTGTCTACAGCAGTGCAGAACTGTCTTAAATTTTGAAATCTTTGTAGTGGGTGAAGCTCGTTCATTAGTTCCTGGTTTCTGGCGGACCCTACCTCTAGGGGGACTAGAACTGGTAAGTAAGCAGCCAAACCTGCGACTTACCTTGAACAGGAAAAGGAAAAGTAGGCCAGGGCCGGGTCTAAGACGATTTTTAGACCTCATAGCTCATTCGTCTCTAATTACTCCCACGGGTTTCAAACTTGAATATCCAAGTACTTTGCACATTTAGCTCCTCAGATGCTATAGTTGTGAACATCGTCCTGGAGCGCTGGCGAGCCTCAAACGGTGGCCAGACTGCTGAAAGAAGGCAAGGCACAAAATCATAAAGTAGTCGGACTTCAGAACTAAAGAGTCTGTAAGGTGGCCTCAGCCACAAGTGAGAACGGGTATCACATTGCGACGAAGACGAAGGTAGAGTCTACCAAAAAGAAGACTTAAAGCGAAGATGCAACAGACGTTGAGCGACCATAGTGAAGTACAAGGTAGGAATTACGGAGCAAGTTTCGCATCCTCATTTTTCACACCAATCCGTGCACTCAACTTCCCACGCGAATTTCCAGCCAAATATGTGCCACGGGAACAAACAAATCAACACTCCTACATCCCAAGTCCAACCTTCCTCCAGGCGACTTCTGTATCAGCACATAACTGGAGAAAATCGGCATTATCAAGATTCTGACAGATAAAATGATTGAGCATCTTGTGACGCTGGTCTTCATCAGCTTCTGCGTATCCGGGCTTTTGCCAAACCTCCTTTGCAGCTGGCCGGTCTTTGTGATTCGCTACGAAGGTGTCCAAGTCATTCAGGAATGATTGAGGAGGCGCCGCTGGTGTGGGAGTAACAACGCCAGAGGTGTTTGCCGGCTTATCGTTAGTAGTAGCTACCTTCTCCTTCACTGTATGATCCCGTCCTGACAATGTCTGTGTTTGCGTACTTTGGTCGGTCGTCTTGGAACGTTTTGTGCTCGATGGAGGACGGATGGGTGCCGCAACACGCTTTGGAGCTGGAGCAACAGCCTTCGACACCAGTCCCGAGGCTGCAGATGCTGGACGAGATGCTGCTGCACTCTTTGCGGCCAGTGGAGATGGAGGGTCTTCATTCCTGTTAGGAGGTGTAATGGTCGTCTCACGAGTCATGGTCTTGAACGGTGAGGAAGCTCTCGAATTGGCTATCTTGGAAGGTGGCGCTTTCCTCTGTGCCACGCGCTTCAATGGAGCAAGCTTTGTTTTTTCGCTCAAGCTTTCGATATCAGCAGGTTTTTTGGTGCTCCCTTTTGTTACAGGTGTAGGTTTTGGAAGAGGTGGTAGATCGGCTGCAGATAACGGGCGGGGTGTGACGTCTGATGGACTGAATGGCAACTCACGTCTTGGAGGTGGCACTAAGCCCTGAAGCCCAGCTGGTGTAGAAATAGATCTATCGATTGGTAGCTGTCTTCTTGAAGGTATCATCATATCCTGAAGCTCGGTTGATGTGACGGATGGTTGATTGATAGGTGAGTCCATCCGTGGCGGATCCATCACGATTCTTGAAGCGTCTTCTTGGCAGATTGACATGGAGTCCACGCGAAACGGATTAGAAGATTGCTTGCTCGCATCTGCGATAGCTGCCAGTGGGTGAGAAAAGAAAGGCGACTCAGAGAGAGACCGCGCCCCGGGGCCTGAGCTTCCAGTGTTGTTTGCTTGTTCCATTTCCAACTGACGGAGGAAGAAGGATGGCTTGGTTTGACTTGTCATGCTACTGGTAGTGGTCTCATGGAGAAGGGGCTGTGGCGGTCGGCGAATGTTTGTCTAATAAGCGTCAGCTCTTGGTCGCCTTTCTCGAATGAGCAGCCAGTACCTCCTTCTCCTGCTGCAACAAGTATAACGACCTCGTCGGTTCCCGGAACGAAGCTGCGCG